TCTTTTGGTACTGAGGATTGAACCCAGGGGTTCTTAACCACTGAGCTACACCCCCAGCCCTTTTTGTTTTTCATTTTTTTTTAAATATATACTTTTTTAGTTGGACACAATATCTTTATTTATTTTTTTATGTGGTGCTGAGGACCGAACCCAGGACCTCGAATATGCTAGGTGAGCGCTCTACCACTGAGCCACAACCCCAGCCCTTGTTTTTCATTTTGAGACAGGGTTTCACTAAGTTGCTTATAGCCTTGCTAATTTACCGAGGCTGGTCTTGAACTTGAGATCCTCCTGTTTCAGCCTCCCAAGTGGCTGGGATTACAGGCGTGCACCACCATGCCCAGCAATGCTAAGGTGTCTGCTGGAACTGGGGACTTGCTACATGTCCTGAGCAATGAGAGAAAGGTATGAAGAAATGAGAAAGTTATGAAGAATAGTTTCTTCCCGAGAAGGGCAACCTTTCCGGGCTATTCTACTCAATCATCCCTCTCTGCACTGACACTTTTTCTCAGGATTAAGGCTGTTTCTTAGTGACTCTGCAGTAGAAATAAGGGGTTCTTTGGTATGAATGTGGGTACCAGCCCCTTCCCACACATATGGATCATGGTCCTTGGGGCTGTGGCTCCAATATGCCCCATCAGACACCAGTTTCAGAAAAATGGCTTTCTTTTGCACTATGTAGAAACCAAGAAGCCTTCCAGGAATGAGGAGGAGGAGAGTGCCCAGAAGGACACTTAAGGACTGGCTCTCTTCTCCCAGGCCCTGGCATAAAGGGTAAAGTGTAAGTCTCTGGCAGACAGCCCCGGATTCACTCCAACCATCTTGGCTATGGGATCAGAAGGGAGAGTAACTGGCAAGGTTGCAGCTGCCCTGGAAGAGCCCTGGACACTTCATGTGCCACTGCCAAGAAAGAGGGGGTAGCTCTGTGCTAGGGGAACCACATCCTGTGCAGAACTGTGTGTTCAGAAAGCTCAAGCAGGTGTTAGGTGTTTTTGCCTTTTGTGGCAGAAAGGGGACAATGTTCAGGGGAAAAGATTCTTTCACCAGAACCAAACCCTAGTGAAAATTCTGACAATGTCATTGATAAGCTGTGGACACTTAGAAAACTATGTTCAATAAATTATAGTATACCCACACATCGGCAAAACGTATGTAAATCTGTTTTTGTTTTTTTTTAATGAAGCTGGGCACAGTGGTACACACCTATAATTCTATGACTCAGGAGGCTAAGGCAGGATTGCCAAGTTTAAGGTCAGCTTAGCAAGGCCCTGTCTCGAAATAAAAATAAATAAATAAATGTGCTGGGGGACTGGGGTTGTGGCTCAGTAGTGGAGCACTTGCCTAGCAGGTTGAGGCACTGGGTTTGAATCTCAGCACCACATAAAAATAAATAAAGATAATGTGTCCATCTACAACTAAAAAATATTTTTTTAAAAAAGTGCTAGGGATTTAGCTAAGTGGAAGAGCATTCCCATAACTGAAAAAAGAATTTTTAAAAGAAGCTATTGTATTCATATAGAACAAATTCCAAGATATAGTATTTTTTTTTTAAAAAAAAAGGTACAAAACTGGGCATACAGCACATTACTATTCATATAAAAATGAGGGAGAAAAACAAAAACATATTTGCTGTATTAGGTATCCACTACTTTGGAAAAAATTACCCCAGAACAACAATTTAAGCATTCATTCTCAGTTTACATGGGTCAGGAATCCCAGCTCAGCTTAGCTGTGTCTTTGGCTCAGGTCCTTGGAAGAGTGTGGTCAAGCTGTCAGCTAGGGATGTGGACCCATCTAAAGGCTCAGCTTGGGGAGGGARGATCTCCTTCCAGGATCCTTCCAGATTGCTGGCAGGCATCAGCCTCTCACCCCACGGGCTGCCTCACAGCTTCCCAGTTGACTTCCTCGGGGTGAGTAATCAGAAAGATAGAGAGCACCAAGATGGAAGTCGAAGTCTTTTTTCATAACCCATTTTCAGAAGTGACATCCACCACTTTGTAGTATTCTATTCATTAGATGCAAATGTGCAAACCAGCCCATGCCAAGAGGAAGGGAAGGCCCAAGGGCATGGATGCTAGAGGTAAGAGAGTTGGAGGGCATGGTAGGGGACACCCGCACCACACTTACACAGGATGCACTGGATACATTAAATATTGGCTGCCTCCAGGTCAGAGAATTGGGTAAATGTGGGAGAATTTTCACTGAGTATGCTTTCATATCTTTATGATTTTATACAATGTGGATGTATCACTTATTCAAAAATACATCAAATTTGAATTTTAAAAGAACAATTTAAAAGTTGGCAATTTAGGGCTGGGGATGTGGCTCAAGCTGCAGAGCGCTTGCCTGGCATGCGCAGGGCGCTGGGTTCGATCCTCAGCACCACATAAAAATAAAATAAAGACGTACCCCATTTGAATCAAATGTATGATATGTCAAGTTCATTGTAATGTTTTGAGCAACTAATAAAAAAATTTAAAAAAATAAAATAAAATAAAGATGTTGTGTCCACCAAAAACTAAAAATAAATATTAAAATATTCTCTTTTAAAAAAAGTCGGCATTTTAACAGAAGAAAAACGRAACAAAATTCGAAAACAATTATACTTAAATAATAGTTATTACTACTGTAAACATTGTTTCTATTTAGTCTTTGCTCGTTTCAATGAAGCTTTAAAAGCTATACATACAAGACACAGTTTGTGTTGCTTAATGTATATTCTAAAAATGCATCATTGGTTGATTTTGTTACTGTGTGAACATCATAAAGTATATTTACACAAGCCAAAATAGACTAGAATGTCACTGATGCAATCTTTTCTTTAACTACTGAGCTACATCCCCCAGCCCTGTTATTTTTATTTTTTTGTGGTGCTAGAGATTGAACCCAGGGCATTGTGCATATGAGGCAAACACTTTACCAACTGAGCTATATACCYAGCCCATTATGTTTTTATTTTGAGACAGGGTCTTGCTGAATTGCTTAGGACCTCCCTAACTTGATGGGGCCATAATCCTCCTGCCTCAACCTCCTGAGATTGTAAGCATGCACCACTTGCCCAGCACTGATATAATCTTACGGAGCAACTCTCAATATGCAGTCCTTAACTGACTGAAACATCATATGGCACATGATTGAACATACGTGTACACATACACACAAACACATAACCCATGTGTAGAACAAAATATAGATTCCCCCTCATTTTTTTTCCAGGGGCGTAGGTACTAGAGGTTGAACCCAAGGGTGGTGTTCTACCACTGAGCTACATCCCTACCCCCTTTTATTTTTTGAGACAGGGTCTTGCTAAGTTGCCAAGGCTGGCCTTGAACTTGTAATCCTACTGCCTTAAACTCCCAAGATACTAGGATTACAGTATGCTTCACCATGCCCAGTCAAAATACAAACTCTTGAGTCAGAATTCAAGATCCTTCAGCATTTGATTCCAGTCTGCTGTGCAGACTTATTTTCTGCCATTCTTTCATCCTTCTATGAACTCTAGTTACTTGCTATACTGAACTAATTACATCTGCCAGTTCTAGCCGGTAAAAGCCATAGCCCAATGCCAGGCACACAGCAAACTTTCAATTAAGACTTAGCTTACATTCTTAATCAAAGGCTGCCTTTGCCTAAACTGTCCCATGTGGAATGCGCTACACCCCTCTCCTAGCCCCAAGGAACATTCCTCTCAAGGCTAAATCAGATGTCACTGTCGCCATGAAGTAATCCCACGGTGGTTAGTCATCACCTCTATTCTCCCACAGCACTCTTTCTTTACCTCAACTATAACACTTTTGTTACATTATTGCAATTTAAACCTTCAACTGATCCCTGGATCATCAGCGACAATATTACCTGGGGATGCAGTAGAAATGCAGAATCTTGGGTCCTCCTAGATATTTAGGATGAGAATCTGAATTTTTAACAAGATACCAGTGACTTATCGAATGGTAAAGTTTGAAAAAACAGTGGTTTTAAATCTTTCCCTACTTGAACTGTAAGCCTTCCCAGGACGCTTTCATTTCTGTCCCCCAAGCCCATCATAAGATTTGACACCCAAATGTTTTCTAAGTTTTATTTATAATAATTATGTATATGACAGATTTTTTTTAATTCCTGGAGGAATAAAATACCATTTTATTAATACTAGTTATTTGGTAAGTGGACAAAGTACATTTCTATGCAACACTTCAATTTTTCTACAATCAGAATGCATTACCTTTATAGGTAGAAAAACACAAAAGATTTAGAAAACTATGTAAAATGTAAGATGAAATGTAAAATTTACGATACAACATTCACAAAATGGTATATGATACATACAATGGTGTATAATTGTGCTGAGGTATATTTACATATATGAAAAGATGCCATGCTATATTGTTTTAAAAGACAACAGTATATATTGATGGCATCATGTTTAAAAAAAAATTTGTAAGTGGCCCCTAAAGGAACATATACCAAAATGCCTTTGGTGGAGTTAATTTATTTATACCTTTTAAATTTTTCCTAGTTTTCTTACAATCTTTTTAAAAAACATGGTAATAAAAAAAGAACAGCCATTTTCATTTTGAAAAATATCTCTACTCCTTTCTAAGTCCCTTTATGTCAGTCATGAGACTTCCACAGGCACACAATCACTGCACACATGAAGGCCAGGGCCCTCAGTCCCACACTCCAGTCACCTGTCTGTCCTGGCACTCTCCCACCCCTGCAGCTACTCCAACTCAAACAAATGTGGCAAGTGTGATGCCACCTTTGGCCAAAAACACCCTGTCTTTTTGGAAGTCTCACTTTCCCCAGTTATTTTTTCTCAGATGGTAACAGCAACAGATCTGCTCTCTGAGACAAAAGCAACCAGACAATTCATACTGCACCACCTCCCCCTGGTGGCAGGCTTTGGAAATGGAAATCGCTTGATAAGAAAATACTGCAATCTGTCATCCTTCTCTCTTTTCTTCTTAGTTTATTTATTATTATTATTATTATTATTATTATTATTATTATTATTATTATTATTTATTTTGGTGCTGGGGATTGAAGCCAGGGGTTCAAACATGCCAAACATAAGCTCTACTACTGAACCATACCCCCCAGCCATATCCTTACTTCTTTAAATCATCAAAACCTCTTTTTCATTCAAGGTATCAAGTACAGACACAAAGCCAGGATTCGGTATCAGTCAGACTTGGTGCTTCAGATAATGCCACAGGTGACTTCTGCCCTTTATCTCCTGTCCTTTCCCTCCCTGCTGCTTGGTCCTTATGATACAGACAGGTTTATCAGTACTGCCTTTCCTGCCTTCTATCTCCTCCACTGCCCTGAACCTCAGGAAGGGCAAGCAATGGCCCAGGAACCCTTGGCACGGTCTGGCATGGAGAAGCCCCAGAGACATTTACCATCAATCCTCTCAGGACCCAGTCCTTAGGTTTTAGGCATTGATATTTCAAGCATGTCAGGTTGTTATGCTGATGTTTCTTTAGAAATATCACAGTGCAGCAATGTCAGTCTTCAACTGTGGTGCTTCTGGTCTCCACATAAACATGAAGTTTCCTTACTCTTCCAGGAAGAAGGAAACATTCAGTAGGATATCTGGAATAGGAAGAGGGAAAACTGGCATATCACCTCTCCAGAGAACATAAACACCAGATTTATAAAGATATAGAACACAACAAGGGCATCTCTCTAATGTCTCCAAAGAGGCACAGGGAAGGAGGAGAGGAAATAAGAAGGAATTAAAAAAATAGTACCTTGTACAAGATCTTGGTGTTCATCTGCTGAAATTTGGTCCCAGGCCTTGGGCAATGCTTGGATACCTGCCAAGTCTCCCCACTGGATGGAGGAAAAGAGATACTTTCTCTTCAGGTACTTTCCTGGAAGTTAAGGACTGCTCAAAAAGAAAAGGAATAATGCTGTAGTGGGGGAAAGGTACCTCATGAAAGCTTTGGGAACTATAATGTAGAGCCATTGTTACATTTCTCTGGGGGGAGGATTAGACTGTGCCACAATATCTTCTAATCAACTCTAATAATATGGCTTGATGACACCAGAAAACAAGAATCAAACACTGTCCCTGAAACCTAGACTATCTTTTGTGAAGACAAAAGCAGAAACTAAAAACAAGCAAAGTGACATAAAAGACAAACTCAGCAGAAGTTTGAAGGGGAAATACATCCACTTTAGAGGACCACAGGAACATTTTTGCTGGTAGGAAACACATAAGCAAAGGTACGGAGTGAAGAAGCGTGGAGTGCCTTCAGGGAACTGCGAACTTTCCAGCATGCCTGGCAGGTGTAGGGCACATAGCAGGAAAGGTGGGTTGAGCCAGAACACACAGACACTGAGGACCAAGGTAGGCATTCTGAACTTTATCCTACTAGCAGCAGAAGCTACTGACACATGCTGTATGAGCAACCTGATCAGAACTAGGATTCCTGAAGATACAAGGAAGTGAGCCAGSTTAGAGGAGCAAAAGTCAGAGACAGAGAAGGCTGCCAAAAGGCTACATGTGATTAAGAATCCAAAAGAGAAACTGTGGAAGTGGCAGAGGGAATAGAGAGAAAAAGAGTCACACATCATTTACTGATGGGGATATGTTTTGAGAAAGGCATTGTAAGTAATGTCGTCCTGTGCAAACATCTGGAGTACACTTACACAAACTAAGACAGTTCTGACGTCACCACGTGATACAATCCTATGGGACCTCTGTGGTATGTGATACCACTGCTGATCAAAATTTGTTATGTGCCACCTGACTGTAAAAGAAGCACCAGGGAAACAGAATTGAAGTGCCTGATAAGTGCCTGTGTAAAGAGTTTAGCATGTGCTAAGTACTCTGCTCCTGCTCCTGTTGGCATCATTACTAAAACCATTAGCACCATCACTACTACTGCTGCAACTGAAAGAGAAAACAGAGGAAAAGATAGAAGACTATCCTAACACTTCCAGAGCAGGTGAATGGACAGCACTAAGTCTACAAATAAAAGAAAGGGGGTTGAATTTGAGAGCTAGATTGAAGAGTTCAACTTTGAGCTTGACTTTTTATTTTCTTGAGCAATCCAGCTGGAGGCATCTACAGAAAACTGAAGCTCAAGACTAGTAACAACAATGAAAGCAGAAACTTAAGCCAGAGGGTGGATGTAGGTATCAGGTGAGAATGAAGACAAAACAGCCAGAACTTCAACTAACTAATCTTCTCCTTCCACCCTTGCCCACCACCACCCCAACTCTTTCCTTGGAACAGTCAGCATGGTAACATTAAAAACATATATCTTTTCTTGTTACTTTTCTATTGAAAACCTCATAGCTCTCTATTTCACTCAAAGTAAAAGCCAAAATCCTTTCAAAGACATTCAAGGCCCTAAGAAGTCCAGCCACCTCCTCAATCACCTCACCTCCCAGCAGACTCCCCTCATCCCCTGCTCTAGCCACACTGGCCTCCTGGCTACTTTCTAAACATACCAGGCATACTCTTACCTCAGGCTTTTGCATTTGATGTTCCCTCTGCCTGGAATACTCTTCCTCCAAATATCCACACAGCTTCCTCCCTTGCCCTCTTCCGATCTTTTCTCATGATGCCTGCTCTGACCACCCTATTTAAAACCACAACCCACCATCATACTTCACATTCCCTGCTTTATGCTCCACAGCACTCATCATCATCTGAAATGCTCCTTATATTTTCCTTTTTTAATGTCCGTCTCCTAGTACCTACAGAAGTGACTGGCAGATAGTAGCTAGTTACAAATTACTTGAGTAATCATAATAAAGAGTAATCAAAGAGGAATCCATGTTCAAGAACCAAAGAGAATGAATCCAAACTTGTGATTAGAAAATTAAAGAAACTTTGGAATATCTCTGAACACTTATCTGAAATGTATGCAAAGGATATGAACTTCGATAATGTCTCTCAATATCTTGCAACCATTCCAACATGTCAGCCACAGAAGGGCTCTCAGCCGAGGGCTGCAGAACAGCATCAAGGCCGACCACGTCTGCATGTTGCTCATAGATCCGAAACACTTGCTCCACATGGCTGCTGACCGTGTCGCGCACCTTGAGGAGGGTGGCTCTGTGGAAGAGACTCTGCATTAGGCAATACGAGAAATGTATGYAGCAAGCCTTCTTAATCCTGGCACTCTGACATTTTGAATTGGGTGATTCTGTTTTGTGGAGGGCCACCTCACACATGCAGGATGTTTAACAGTACACCTGGCCTCTACCCACCAGAGGACAGAAATAAACCACACTCTCACCATCTCCACCCTAATGTCTCTAGACATTGCCAAATATCCCCTCACAGAAAAACTACCCCCAAATGAGAACATGAGCTAAGGAGATATTGCTTTGGAGGTACAGGAAGATCGAGAATTAAGAAATAACTTTATAATGGGGAGCTGAAGTTATATTGCTCTCAAAGCTGTGGGATAAGCCCAGTTGCCAAAGAAAGTAAAGATCAAGGGACATTTCTGGGGTTAAGGATGGACTGAGGGTTAAGCTCAGAGGCAGAATGCTTATTTAGCATGTGTAAGGCCCTAGGTTTAATCCCCAGCACTGCCCCCCCCACAAAATAAATAACCTAAGGAGAGCAAATGCTTACTCACAGACTCAAGCCATGTACAAGAAAAGGGAATAAAGAGGGTACTGAAGCAACAAACCATTCCCATCTACATGCTCTCTAACCCTTTCTAGAAAATTCTTRAACAGTCAAGTGTGGGCTCAGGATGCAGTCTACTGCGGAAAGTTATTTATTCTCCCCCATGCATAAAAACAGCTTGTTTTGCTCACGATACAGGACTAGCACACAGAACAAACACTTATTCCACAAATCAATGAGTGAATAAAATTATTTTAAAAACTAAACACAATAATGCATATAAAGTGCTTAAAGCAGGGCCTAGGTTATGGTAAATATTATTTCATCAGTGACCCCAAAGGATCCAGCCATCAAGACAAAGGCTACAACTTCCAAAAGTAGAAGGCATTTCCCAGCCTAGTACTGTGTCTTTCAAAAATATTTGACCCTTTATGAACAACCAGAAATATGAAAAATTGTGCTCTATATGTGTACTATGAATTGTAATGCATTCTGCTGTCATATATAACAAATAAAAATTTAAAAAATGAAAAAAAAAAAGTTTGACCATGACTCACAATGAAAAAACAGAATAACAACCCAACACCCACACACAAATATGTAATCAATTGAAGCAAAAAGTTCCCAAAACAATATTGATCCTCTCAAATGTGTTTTTCATACTGTGAGATCTGCTTACTTGTAGTCTGTGACTTGTAGAACAGAAGACAAAATATCAGAGTGTAATACTCATAGCATTGTTTTGTGGAATATTTCAGTTTATATGTATGCATGTGTTTATGTGGACCATGATACAAAACGTATTTCACCCTATAGGTCATGGTCAAACTCTAAAAGCCACTGATCTAAAGGAAAACAAGTGCCTCTAGGAAGGCAGGCTCTCATGGGGAATTTTTTATACTTTTGTTTTTGTAGTGCTAAGGATTAAACTCCAGGCCTCATGAATTTTTTTTTAAGCATTCTACCACTGAGCTATACACCATTTTTAAAAATTGAAAAACAAGCTGGTTTTATGGTGGCAGTGCCGTCTGTAAATCGCAGTGGCTCAAGAGGCTGAGGCAGGAGGACTGTGAGTTCAAACCCAGCTTTAGCAACTCAGTGAGGCCCTAAGCAACTTAGCAAGACCCTGTCTTAAAATAAAAAATAAAAAGGGCTAGGGATATGGCTCAGTGGTTAAGCATCCCTGTGTTCAATCCCTGGTACCAAAACAAATAAATAAATAAATAAAAATAAAATTGAGAAACAAGCCATACTTTAAACGCATACAACTTAAGGGGCTGGGGATGTGGCTCAAGTGAGGCACGCATGAGGCATTGGGTTCGATCCTCAGCACCACATAAAAATAAAGATACTGTGTCCACCTAAAACTAAAAAAMCAAAATTTAAAAGGCATACAACTTAAAATGAAACTACTTTGTATACTACAATGGTATATACATGCCATTATCTRTTTCTCTAAATCCAGTGAACATACAAAATCAACAAGAAAGCCAATGTTAAGTTATGGACTTTCAGGGATAATGACATGTCACTATAGATTCACTGATGGTAACAAATGTACCACATTGGCACAGGTAAGAGGAGAGTATATACATGTGTGGAGGCGAAGGCATTAGGGAATTCTCTACACTTCCCAACTTCACTCTAAACTTAAAACTGCTCTCAAAATTAAAGTTTACTAATTTTTAAAAAYAAGAATACAATTTAGTACTTTTTCACGTATTCACCAAAATTGTGCAACCATCACTATCACCTATTTCAGAACATTTTTATCATCCCCCAAAGAAATCCTGAATTCATTAGTCGTTATTCCAATTCACTCCTTCTTTTTGGCCCCAGGAAAGTACTGATCTACTTTTTACCTTTGTGGATTTGTCCATTCTGGATATCTCAGAGAAATGAAATCATACACTATATGTTTTGTTTCTGATTTCTTTGACTTAGCAAAATGTTTTCAGGGCTCATCCATGTTGTAGCATGTATGGGTGCTTATTTCCTTTTTATGGCCAAGTAATATTTCAATGTTTGGCTCTATCATAATTTATTTGTTCATCTGATGAACATTTAGATTGATTCCACCTTTTGGCTGTTATGAATCACACTGGTTTTGTAGTGCTAAGGATTAAACCCCAGGCCTCAACTTATCACCAAATTCCTCTCAATCCAGAAGCAAAAGACACATCTATAGATCATATGCTCAACAGAGCTAATTACCTCTCCAACCTCCTCTCTCAGTCCCCTGCTCCAGCCCACTATTCTCTTTTCAACATTACTCATGTCCACATCTTGGCTCATTTTACACAAATTCATCCTGCAGGCTTTAGACATTACTTCCTCCCAGAGGCTTCCCCCCTCCTCAGGCTGCACTCCTCACTATCTTAGAACACCACAACATCTCTTCTACTCAAGGCTGCTTCCCTGTTGTCTTCACAGCACCTTGTTGTGCCTGGCATCCCACAGGTGCTTAATAAATGTTGTTTTGTAGAAGCGTACAAAAGAATAAAGTGCATTTTGTACAAATAACAGTTTCCTATTCATGTATGGTACAGACACTATGCACTCGAACTTTTTTTGTTTGGGGTCAAAGAAAGGCCACATATGCCCTGTCTCCTGTCTCTTCTCAATACCATAACCTATTGGTTACTGAGAGACAAAACAGTTAAAAGACAAAAACCAGAGGTTTTAAACATGCTACTCCTGGGCACAGAGACAATGCACAGCAAAACAAATGATAATTAAGAGCTTTGGGGCTGGGGTTGTCACTCAGTGGTAGAGCGCTTGCCTAGCATGTGTGAGGCACTGGTTTCAATCCTCAGCACCACATAATAAATAAATAAATAAAGGTATAAAAAAATGGACTTAAAAGGCTGAAGCTATAGTTCAGGGGCAGAGTGCTTGCCTAGCATGTGTGAGGCACTGGGTTCGATCCAAAGCACCACATAAAAATAAATAAATAAAATAGGCGCTGGGGTTGTGGCTCAGCAGTAAAGTGCCCACCTAGCAGGTACAAGGCCATGGGTTCGATACTCAGCACCACATACAAATAAAATAAAATAAAGGTATTGTGTCCAACTACAACTAAAAAATAAATATTTTAGGTATATATTTATTTTAAGATGGACTTTAAAAAAAAAAAAAAAAAAAGCTCTGGCTTTTGTGTTTTTCAAAAGATGGGGGTTGGAATCCAGTTAAATATTTACTAGATGTGTGACCAAGGGCAACCTGCTTGAGTCCATTTCCTCACTTGCAAAAACTGGAATGAAGTGAGGTTAAGTCACAGAGGTATTAAAGGACTTTATGGGTAATGTATGTAAAACCTTCAGTTCTGGCACCTGCTAAGCTTAAAGCCCAGTTCCTTGTTGCCTTTACCAAAGACAACTATAGAGAAGGGCTAATAAGCTTTCTCCACTCCTTTTCCTTTGTGCTTCTCCACTCCTTTTCCTTTGTGACATTTCCCTTGTCAGAA